CTACTCCTACTACTCCTACTGCTGCTGCTGCTGCTGCTAGTACTTCTGCTGCTTGTGGCTCTCCCTGTACTACTAACTAGCTGCTAACTACTAGCGGCTATGGACTCCCTGCTCACTTTTCGCTCTACAGGCTATCTACTATCGACTACCTAACTACTACCTAATTGGCTCGTCACACTTTGATAAGTTACCGCAGCGGGTTTCGGAAGCCAGGACTATGTGGAAAGGGCTGGCTCTTGACCTGCGCTTGCCAGCAAAAGTCAAGACAGAGCAGATCTGCCTGTGAAAATGACTTTCAGGAACCATGTAGCCTTGAAACTTAGGGCATCTCCTGAATGTCATTCTCAGAGCCATGTTTGCTTTGTCTTGACTTTTGCTGGCAGGCGTGGGTTCAGAGCCCATTGTCTTTCCATGTAATCCTGGCTTCCCACAACCCCTAGCACTGTCTTGAACTTTGCTGGCAGGCATGGGTTCAGAGCCCATGTTCAAGACAAAGTTGGCGCGGCACCTGAACGAAATCAGCCCTCGCCCCCACCCACCCCCATTCCCGAACTAAAGTCCTGTCCTTGAAGCGCCTAGAATCCAATGCGAAAGCCTCGAAGCCGGAAAACCTGCAGAAAAATCGTAACTTGGATCGGTGTCGGGACCTAACTACTGACTACAACAATCTACTGACTACTTCTGACTACCAACGAATAACAACTGCTTACTAACTACTATAAGTACGAACTATTGACTGCCAACTACTAGTTACAAACTGGCACTAGGTGTTGATGTTGATCACAGTACCCTCTTCGTATGTACGTGTTACTTGCTATTCCTTTTCTTGCGTCTGTTTGCTCTGATACGTGTTGAAGTTGTGATGGTGATGTTTCAGTTCCTTGCAGCCGGCGAATGTGCCCAGGCTGCCGTGCACGAGGTCCTAAGCAAGGCTGCATCGATTGGAACCCTGCAGCTTAACAGCTTAGGAATACGGGTTGAGGATTTCAGGTGGCCTCGGTTATTGTCTGTCTCATGTTCCCTATGCTGCCTGCTGCTTTCGGCGGCTTTTTGCGAGCAGGGAAACCGTGACAATTGAGTTCAGCTGTTCGAGGGCTGATATGGCATGTTATGGCA